AGAAGCAGAGAATGAGCTAAGGGTCCCGGTGTATGATGTTTACTTGGAGCCAGAATGTCCTTGTGGGGAGAGGGAAATTAAGGGGAAGAGAAGCCATCAGTAAAAGATGTATTATGGATCCTGCTGCCCATCTTACTGGGAACTGTGGGACCCAATACAGGACATGTCACACTTCAAAATTATCACCAGAGAGGGGAGGGTCTGTCAATCATTGGTTAAGAGCTGTTTTCAAGGCCATTAATTCCCTGGCAGTCCACTGCATGGTGGCAACAATGTGCAGACTGTCGTATAGAGGTGCCATGTGAACCTCTAGTGGCAGACAGGGTCACTCTAGGGGATTGCAAGAACACTTTTAATTTTTATTTGTTAGTTATATATTTATTTTAATGAGTATCCAAAATGTATTTTACCGTTCAACTATAGTTTGGTTTTCCTTTTCTGCAGCACTAAAGATTAAACCCAGAACTGGGTATGGTGGCCCACGCTTATAATCCTAGTGACTCAGGAGGTTGAGGCAAGAAGATTGCAAGTTCAAGGTCAGCCTTAACAACTTAGTGAGATCCCATATCAAGATAAAATATTTAAAGGGCTGGAGATATAATTAAGTGGTATAGCACCCTTAGGCTCAATTGCCAATACAAAAAAAAACAAAAAGTTCCCACCCAGGGCTCATACCTGCTAGGTAAGTAATCTGCCACTGAGCTACATCCCCAGTCCTTGGATTTCATGTATATTATTGCTTAGGATCTGACTGAGTTTAGAAGGTGAGCCAATCCAAAAGGTTACTAATGGGTGAATAGATTAAAAAATGTGGTTAACATCAAACCTGGATAAATATTAGCCATAAAAAAGTAAAATTCTGGCACATGCTTTAACATTGATGCACCTTGAAAATGTTATGCTAGGTGAAATAAGCCAGGCTCAGAAAACAAAATCATGGCAAGATTCTACTTGCTTTAGGTATCTCGAGTGAGAATATTCATGGAGACGAAGTAGAATAGATATTACTGGAGGCTGTCGGGAGAAGGGAATGGAGTTATTATTTAATGAGGACAGAGCTTCTGTTTGGGATGATAGAAAGTTCCAGAGATGTGTACAGAAATGGTTGTGTAACTTATTGTCACTGGAACCTGGAGTGAATGATGGTTAGGAGCTGAGGAGGCTGCTCAGTGGTAGAATATTTGTCCAGCCTGCACGAGGCCCTGGGCTCAATCCCTAGAAACCCCCCCCCCACACACATACATACACACACACACAAACATGCACACATACAGACACGTGCACACACACACTCATATGCA